ATATCACGATTTGTGATTGTGATTACAGTATAATAAATAAATGGTATCGTGAGTCTTGTTGTTTGATTCAGTGTTTCCCTACATTATATCAGGGGGCACTGACCTGACAGAGTTATTGTTATGGACAGACAGTGTGTCAATGACCATCAACAGAACAGTCAAACACGCTGCTCACACAGCAGAGCAAAGCCTGTGTTGCATTCAGGCGTTGTCACGTAAATGACAAATTCCAGCACGCCATAGCACAACACAGCAGCATGTCAAGTGGGCCGAACCCGAGCAAAGTTGCTCAATTTTTCATTTGTTATATAGTTTGTTATGGAGTCCGTGACACTTACACATGTTTGCGTAACTGTGCTTGGATGTTGTTTTATGAGGCTCTGGTGTCTTTCAGTTGTCTCTTTGTCTTTAACGTTACACGGCTCGTCTTTCTCTCACATGCACTCTTCCTACTTCTCCCTGTGCTGTCTCAAGTGCTGATATAGATTGGTCGTGTTGCCACAGGACGTGGCGACTTTAACTTTTAGACTTTTACACAGCACGTCTTTCTGTTCAACGTCGCTGTACCTGAATCCAAAGTATCGCCATGTGATAGATGTTGCGTTTTTTTCGCCACCGACTCAGCCTGTTCATGGTCGTGCTCATGCTCTTCTTCAGCGTCTGTGTTGGTCACTGCTGCACGCCGAGTGGTCACCTGACCATACGTAATGTTTGTGTGACATCATCAAACATGATAGGGTATTCAGCGAGTATTCAGACCCCTTCACTGTGTCACAGTTTATCAGGGATAAACTGATTAATCGACCGCATATCAGTATCAGCCAATATTCACCTTGTTGACCGATCAGTCTATCAACAAATAAGATGACATCACTGATGGCAGTGGTCGATTCGTCCCCCCCGTTGTCGCAGACTAGGCGAGCAGGCGGGCATCACTTGTGTCCTCGCCACAGTGGCTGTGGGTTCCAACCCACGGCCCTTTGATGCATGTCATCCCTCTGTTCCCTCTCACGCTCAGCTCTGTCCTGTCAAATAAAGGCAAAGCTAGAAAAACTAATCTTGGGAAAAAAAAATCATCAAAAATCATTCTCATGATGTGTTCAGTCTTGTAAAATGTAGGTTTTGGTGAGCAACTTAAATAAATGCAGCAGTTTGAAGGAAAAATGTGTCGATGTTTTCACAGAAATATAAAACAGATATTAAAGAGAGAATTATGACGTATGTTTCTTATATAAGTCTGATATAATCTGTGCTCATTTAAAGGTCGTGTAACGAAGGACCGAACGACTTTGTTCTTTGTTTCTCTGGAACAAAATGGAGAATAAATAACAACAAAAACAAAATAAATAACAATAGAAACCATGAGTTCAGTATTGGCCTGCAGCTGTTTGTTGCAGCCTTGTGCTAAAATCATTAGATTGACTGTGTCCCTCATTATTTTCTCCGGAGGAAATAATGAGGGACAAATTTAAAATATCATAAATCAAATTTTTGTCCCTTCTGGTCGTCACATGCTGTTTGTTGGTGGAGATCCTCCACATGTCGTTAACGTGTTTCAGTGTTTAACCGTGGGAAACAGTTTCTTAGAGAGTTCCTACAGTCTGCAGACCACAGCCTTTAATCTGTTTAACAGGAGCAGTCGGAGCTCAGCAGTGACTCGTGAGGCTGCCGTGTTGGAGCAGAGTCCTCGAGGTCTCATGGCCTTTCTGAACCTGAGTCCTCGTGCTGCTGGATTCAGTTCAGAGCAGTAAAATCAGGTTTTATGGCCGAGGCTCCTCAGTTAAAGGTTAAAGCACCTGCTTGACTCCTTCACACTGAATCACCACCGTGACACCGTCTTGAACCAGCGCCTGTTAGTTCTGTCTCTTTCATTATCTGATGTCTGAGCTCTTTGAGCCTCTGGTGGGAAGAAGCTAAGTACTTTTACTCAAGTACTTAAGCACCATTAATTTGAGTATATCTGTTTTATGATAATGGATACTTCTTCTCCACAACATGTCAGAGAGGAATGTTGTACATTATAATGAGCTGCAATAATCTGACTGCTTCAGTTACCTCACAGACATTTACATAAAAAACTTTGGGTTCAGTTTAACATTTTTTCCAGCGGTCAAGTTTTTGGTTTCAACAGATGAAGTTTCAGAGTGAACAAACAGCAGATCAGAGACTGATCAGACTCCATGGAGCTGATATTGATTCATCCACAGCTGATCAACCTGCAGTGATTCAGTTTAAGATTTTTGACCAAAAGTCAATTTTATGATGTGGGTTTTGTTCACTTTGAAAAAACAACAACTGAAAACATTCAGTCTTATTTTTGTCCTGCATTTTAAATCTCCTGCGGTGGGTCGCACACACATAACACATCATCAAAACGTCACACCCGTCCCGTCCATGATCTCGTCCTGCCTGCTGTCCTGTCCATAGAGACAGCATTTCAGCTCTGTTAATACCTCCCGTGGCGGCTTAAAGGCGAGACAGCTCTGTCCCCCTTTCTGTGATCGAACGGCGTGATTTTCCTGCCTTAGACAGGCAGTGTTACAGGGACAAATGTCGAGGTCACTCACAGACTAAAACAAAATCTAAACATTTATCATGAACTCAACACCTCAGTTTCCCTTTCAAAATAAAAGCCCTCCCAAACATCTCTGGACAGAATCCCTTCATTTGTCAACAAAAGTCTTTTTATTGTGAAATATCTGCTGGACTGTGTTGTTAACGTCATTGTGGCTGCATATCTCAATGAATGAACGAGTACAGGCTTTTAATTTTGGAATTACAGTCGATACAGCAGCAGGCAGCTCTGCAGCAGCACCGCTGTCTGTGTGAACACTGCAGCAGCTCAGCGAGGAAGCCGTCACACACTGCGCACACAGGCGGTGCTTCTCAGCAGGTCAAACAGATCAATCAGTTTGCGAACAGATCTTATTGGCTGCTGGAAGAAAGTGTAGAACCAATCAGGAGCAGCAGTTTGAGATTCTGCAGCTCGATGAATAAATAAATAAATAAATACATTTATCATTTTTATGCTGCTCTGATAAACTTTGGTCTAGTTTTTCTCGTGAAGAAGGAACGTGTGAAGAATATTTCTCATCACAGTTCATTTACAGGCTGATTTAGAGCTGTTTTCACAGCAAAACATTTCAGACTCAAACATGAAACTTAGCTGGTGGTTTTTCCAGGTGAATCCCAGACATGGCTTTGTTTTCTTCTACAAATGATGCGTTCACTGCCATCGCCATCAGGAAAATGTTGACGAGGAGTTTAGATGAGAAGATGCAAATTATTGAGAAGGATCTGTTGGTGTCATCATTACAATGTAAGATTCACCATAAAGAATAAAGTGCCAGACTGTTTTCAGACCGACCGACACAAACAAACTTTATTTATGGAGATTTATCATGAAAACATTTAATGACATCATCGCTTTGAAATTAAAGACTGGAGTTGACACCAGAGGACCAAAGTAGTGTGTAGTCATAGTGACACTGACATAGACAGGTGTAAATACCAAACACTCCTCCTTCACCCCCACAGCTGCACACACACACACACACACACACACACACACACACACACACACAGAGTTCATTATAATAAGTGACCAGTAATATGAGACGAAAGAACCACAGTAAAACCTGAACCTATTAAACTCATTGTTTTACTTTAAATCAACACAAACACACCTCCGACTGACGGACTCGACACACACACGCACACACACACTGTTTTATAACGTGTGTCCACACACAGTGTAGCAGTTACACAGTCAGCCAATCACAGAGCAGCATTTATTTTCTGTTGCTGCAGTATAAAGTAGAGCCACAGAGAGCAGCTGTCACTGAGAGGTCAGGAGGTGTTTGGTATGAACACCTGTTGCTCTCTGAGTGGGCGGAGTCAAACTGAATTCAAACCAATCACCAAACTGAGACCAACTTCAGCAGCAGCCTCACAGGACTGTAAAACTCATTCACCTCTGATTCTCAACATGTTTGTGACGATGACTTTTTTAAAGCCTTTATTTTAACACTTTTTAAAAAAAAAAAAAAAAGATGATGAATAAATACATAGAAATAATTGTGTAAGCAATAATTAATGTCTGGAAAAAGAGGAGGAAGCAAACTGCTTGTCTCGTCCGACCCCTCATCTGTTCAAACCCATCAACACACAGTCAGTCTCTTTTCTTTCCTCTGTCTGCAGCTCTCAGTCTTTATTTACTGGTTTCTCGAAAGCAAAGACAAGAGAGAACTTTATTTTGATGTCGAGGGTCACTGTCATGCAGCAGTTGCAGTATCAAGAGTGCAGATATAAGATATCAATAAAGATGCAAACATACAAATAAACAGATATCAAAAACCCTCAAAACCCAAACTACACACAGAGTCACAGTTACAGTCACTTGCTCAAATCTCAGGGTCAAACCTGTACGACACCGTGTTCTTAGGAGTGGAGATTGGGCTGCTGAATAGTTTCTGTGTCATCTGATAACATATTAAGAAAATAAAATGTTGTTTAAAAAAAAATCCAGAAAGGAGGGCAGAGGAGACACCTGCACACCGATGTGACCGGGCTGCACAGCCAGAACAAAGGTTCACAGGCTGAGATCATGCATAAAAATGTCAGTTTATGTAGGACATGGGTGCACAAAAAGAAGGGTGCTCAAAGTGCAGAAGCACTCTTCTCTTTGCATTGATCTCAGCCTGTGAACCTTTGCTCTGGCTGTCCAGTCTGGTCACATTGGTGCGCAGGTGTCTCCTCTGTCATCCTGTCCTGGTTGTCCAGTGTACTGACACACCCAAAATATACGTTTTGTTGCCCTAAGTAGGCACAGTTTCACATCAGCCCCACAAAGTGGAAAAAAATTGGAACTGATGATGTTTGTATGTGTGCTGTTCGACATCTCTGCATCAGTTACACACAGACCTAAAGTTCAGATATGTTCCTGTGGAATGTGCTGAACTGAAATGTTCTGAGCGTTATCAACTTATCTCTGTGAACAGAAACTGCGTGACGCTGGTATCGAGGTGCCGGAGGCAGGAAAGAAGGGACCAGGACCACAGGAGGAGAACAAGGCTCTGAAGGAGGAGGTGAAGACCCTGAAGGAGGAGCTGGACACCACCAAGAAAGGTAAGGATGTACATGAAGGAGGAGGAGATGACACAGAGGAGGAAGAGTAACATTAGATTTAGTGCCATGTGTTGCTTCAGGCGAGAAGATGAACTCATGTCTCACCTGATTGTGTCAGTGATGGAAGAAGTACTTTTACTAAGGTAAAAGTACAAATACCACAGTGTGAAAGTAACTTTACTCTGATGTCATCAGCAGTGTGAAGTGTCACAGTGTTTGTTCTGATGATGACTCTGTGAAGTAACTGGAGCTGCAGACACGTGGTAAAAAGCTCAGTATTTAAGTTTAAAGTAGCAGGAAACAGAAACACTCGAGTAGAGTAAAAGTACCACACAGCTGTACCTTGGTACTTTAGTACATTACAGGAGTAAATGTACTCAGTTACATTCAGCTCTGTGTTGATGTCTTGCAGCTCTGCACAAGTCGGACAGTGACGTTCGTGCGATGAAGAAACAGGCCGAGAATCTGACGGTGGAGTACGACAGACTGCTGGACGAACACAGCAAACTGCTGGTAACAAACACACACACACACACACACACACACACACACACACACTTGATCTCTGTACTCAAGGAATTTCTGCTATGAATGAGTCAAACTAGTTTGAGCTCTGCGCTGATGGTTCAGGGCTGGCCGATATGGCCTAAAAAAACATCTCTGATTTTTTTCACAACAAATCTGATTCACGATTTAAATCATTTCCCTCGTACTTAAAATCAATTTGCAGATGACAAAGAAATTGTTCAAAACAAGTTTTAACAGTTGGCACGTACCTGAGGTCCAAAACTTTGAGCATGTGAATAAACCCCACGGTATATATGGCACCATATCTCTTGCAGTATACATGACGGGCCCCTTTCTCTTCATACAGAACACAGTTTGTAAATGTTTCCAAGACGGTAGGTTGTTTCCTTGAAGGCGTGCCGGGGCTGCTGCGGTCTTGTTCATTTCATAGGGAGCAACAGCTCTGCCACTCTGTAGCATGCTCCTGCAGTAAATTGGTAGTACTGCTACCTTTGGTACAGCAGCCTTCAAACACACTTCACAGCGGCTGCTGTTTGTTCTGTCTGACACCACAAAACTGAACTGATTCCAAATAACTGAAGACAGGTTCCCTTTGTTGGGAACAAGTTCTTCCCCGCTCGCTGCCATGTTGTTTGTGAATTAAGCACACTGGGGGGGAGGGGTGAGCCCACTTTGAACTACGGGAGCCCAGCGGGGAGCGTCGGAGGTGAATGTTAAAGAGAAACTCGATTTTTATTAAAACAAATCGACCTAAACTACAAATTTGAATTAATGGATAAAATCGATTTATCGCCCAGCCCTGCCATTGAGTTTAATGTTGTTAATGGTTTCCTCTGTTTTCATTGCACTCACACATTTAGTCTTTTACACGTGACTGGACCACATCAAACTGTAACAGCACATCAGACTGCTCTACAGTAGTTTTTAGTTTTAAGGCCCTGACACACCAAGCTGACGGTCGGCCGTCAGCCAAAGTTGGGCCATTGGTGAGCGTCTGTTGCCCTAGTGTCTGCGGTGTGTCCTGCACCGGCGGCTTTTCAGCTGATTGAGCATGTTGAATCGGCAGCGGAGCTTGTTGGTGAGAGAGATCACTCTGATTGGCTGTTCAGGTTTTATTTCCTCGCCCCTGTAGCGAGTGAATCTGCCTGTAGTGAAACCGGGGCTAACCGGTGCTTCCTACTCAGGCTCCACTTCACTCAGCTGCCCCACAGACCCGCTGCTTCTTCACACTTTAACCTGAATAACAAACCGGAGCTAGCTGGGAGCAGCTAGCGGAGCGTTAGCCGCAGCATGACCGGAGGGAAGCACAGCCAGTTAGCCTCCGCTAGTCTCTGAGCTAGCCCCGGCTCTCCGTGTTTTGTGCCTTATCTCAAGCTTTCAGTAAATGTGCACAAATTGGGAAGAAATAAACGCAAAGTACAAACAGAGAGCTCCGTCTGTGTTTGTATACGTGTCTAACGAGTAGCATAAATGAGCCCTTAGGAGGATTTAGTGGCGTCTGTCAGTGAGAATTACAGATTACAGATTACAACCAGCTGAAACTTCTCCTGGTCAGAATTCCTGCAGTGTTGATTGTTGAGGAGCTGAATTATCCTCAGAGGTCTCTTCCTCTCAGAAACACACACACACACCAGAATCACTTGGTGACACTAAATCTGAGTCACTGCTCCCTGAACATAAAATAAACATTCATACATTTCCTGTGTCTCAGGGTGTGTCGTCACACAGAGGAGATCTCAGCTGTCTCATATTCCAGCTGTGATTCTTGGCTGTTGATTGGCTGTTTCTGCAGAGAAATATGTTGAGGCGCGATGTGTTTGTACTCGTCACGGATTAATTAAGAAACTCCTGAGAGTTAAACTGAGCTCAGTAATGACAGACTGAAAACACTGTTGATACAGAATCTCCTCAAATATCAGACGCCATTTATCGTCTGTTTGAGTTCATGTGACGTTTGTGCTGCGCTGTTTGGCTGCAGCAGGGTCACACTGAAGGGTAAAAGATCAATCAGGTCCAACTGGTAATCAATTATCAATCACTAACTCGCATCATCCACACTGTGTGAGTGTGTGTGTGTGTGTGTGTGTGTGTGTGTGTGTGTGTGTGTTGACTGTGTTGACTTATATTTAGCTGCTGTTGTATGTGTGTGTGTGTTCATGTGTGTGTGATCAGTGTAACAGCAGCTGGTCCACCGTAAATCTGCCTGACAGGACACATATAGCTCACGCTCACACACACACACACACACACACACACACACACAGTGAACACAGAGTTATGTAACATACCTACAAATACACACACGTGTGCAGTTGTGTACGTGATGTATGGACACACTGTGAGTCCTTTATGTCCTGTGGATGGTTTAATGTGCAGCTTCTATAAGGTCCTGTAAGAACCACGTATCTTACGACGACTCCTCCAGATGAGTTTATTTAGAAACACACGAAGTCCAGTTGAGACTAAAGACTGGTGATGAGACACAGAAGGTTTCTACAGGTCTACTGACTGAGTCATGTATCTCGAGTCATGTATCTCGAGTCACGTGTCTCCACAGACCGTCTAACATGTTTCTGTACCTCGTAACTCACCAGTGTCAATTTTGAAATTTAATAGCAAATAATTTCCAGTGTAAATGTTATAAAATGAGCAGTAACACTTTGAGATGTGCCGTACAGGCCTCTGACGCTGACTTGCGCCCCCTCTGGATGTAGCAAACACTGCAGCCTGCGAGAGGCGCTCACACTGTGTTTTTACCGCCCTGTTCTGTGTCTGCAGGCAACCAGTGACAAGAAATCAGACTGAGGACGACAAGGACGACTTCCTGCTCCTCCCATCTCCATCCTCATCATCGTCGCAGTCCTTAATAAGCAGCTCTTGCATCAGTAAATTGATGTCACTTCCTTTTGTTTGGATTAAATGACGTCGCCGAGCTGCGATTGGTTTATTTCATGTGGTTTAAAAAAATATCTCATCTGCCTGTCGGAGCTTCAAGAGAAAGATCACCGGCTGTGTGTGAACGTTTGTGTGTAACTGACGAGGTTTTTTTTGTTGTTTATTTGGAGCTGATTTACTGAGAAACATCAAATCTGATCTGATCATTCCCCGTTTCCTGCGAAACATCCTGAACTCCAACACGTTTCTGGACATGGAAACACACGAGCTTTATTCCAAACTCTGAGGTCCAGTGTTTTATAAAACACCTGAAATACAAAAGTTGCACATTGTGGATTCATGTCGGGTCAAAACGTCTCCAAACATTCGTTTCTCTGAAATCACAGAGTGAATTTAAAGTTTTAAATTGATCCAAAATGAATTCCCTCCAGTGATGAATGAAAACAAACTAACAGTCTGCAGAGTGACGGTTTGATGATCGCTTTGTACGAACCAAACTAAAGATCTGTCTCCTCCTGATTTAAAACCATGTTTCATGATTTATTATTTTATCACCAGTTTGACACTGAAGCATCCACAGACTAATGTTCTCCTCACATACAGTAAAATAAAAGATTAAAAACTGTTCAGACTTTAGTTCGGCTCGTACACAGTGATCCTTCTCTGTCGTAATCAACGCGGTTCATTAGATTTACTTTAGGTTGTGTTTCAGTTTGTTTGTGGTGTTAAAGGTTTAATGTCTCGACATTTTCAGATGAAGATTTTTCTCTTTTGAAAACTAGTTTTTGTTTCAGTCGGCTTCAAACATCTGAAACTGTCATCGTCTAAAGATGTGGAGGTTTCAGCAGAATGACATGTGAAATGTTTAAGACAGAGTGAATATCTGCGTTCACTCTGACAGGTGTGTTAGGTGTGTGTTAGGTGTGTGTCTGTGTGTGTTATTTGTTTGATGGAAGTGGTGAGTCTGAACAGACGTGCAGCTGTGATGAGTCAAATCATGTTCACCTGTTTTATTTTTGTTTGTTTGTACCTGAATCTAAATTGGGGAAGATTTTGGAGAAGATAACGCTGCATGTGAGCAACTCAAGAGCTTTAAAGAGTTTCAGAGTTGTCTGTCTGCAAACAGATCTTTATTCGTCATGTTTGCAGACAGACGGACGAACGGACAGACAGCTCAGCTTCACTCAGACACTCATGCGTCAACTGCGGCTCAGTTGCCGGTCATTTCATGTAGCTGCACGGACCTGTGAAGGCCGTCAGTCTCTGAACCCGACCACCTGACCTGTTCTCTCATCTGTAATAAGTCCATGTTTAACTTTAAATCTTGTCCAGATTTCGGGTTTACTTACTGTGTTGTTGAAATATCTCTCAACTGTGTGTTCCTGTCACAGCTGCACGTCTGTTCAAACTGCCTGATGTAGCTGTGGCTCATGTAGGGTTGAGTCCACTCAGCTCTCACTCCACGTCAGTTTACGTCTGTTTTTATTTTTTAGTTTACGTATAATTTCTCAGTTCTGTCACATTCCCTTCCTGCATGATGAAACTTTAAGGCACAAATTATTTTGGTGATTTTGAACTTTTCTTTGTCATGTGTGAAACACTTTGTTGATGCTGAACGTGCAGATTTATCATGTGATCACCGCCTTGTGTCTCAGACGTCTGTCAGAAACAGTGTGCTGATGCTCACACAGATTCATAATGAAACATAAATGTGAAGCTGAAAAGTGGCTGCAGGCAGATTTTCTAAAGCTTCTGTGCTTCGTCAGCGTCGTTCATGTTTCTGTTTAAACGACTGTGACGACACAAAAAGAGACGTCGTTTTCTTTCGTTTCATTTTCAGTGTGTTATTTTTGAATATGGTGAACTTGTGTTGACAGTTGTGTCAAACTGTAGAGGGCGCTGTTCAGAGGGATCATGTCTGAGGTGAACTGTATTTGGACTCGTGCTGAAATAAACCACCAAAGGAGCCTCACAGAGTCGACAGGTATCTGCTCTGTCTCTTTGTCTCACTGGGTGATTTAAAAAGAATATACAAAACACACGATCATGGAATTTCTGGAAAATTTATGAAATTAGGAAAATTGTTTTCCAGGTCTGGAAATGGTTCAGAAATAACAGAATGTTTAGGAAAAGTTTTAAATGCATGTTGTTTTATATTATTGAAAATCTGTCCATAAAAATCCCAGAATGTGTTTCATGAAATGTAATCCTCGTACTTTTCATGTAAAATCTTGTGTTGCATGTTGAGACTTCACTAGTATCATGGGATACACAGGCCAGGACCATTGCCAAGGCCACGCCCCCTTTTGTTTCACTGATCCACTTGGACGGGGAAAGTCAAACACAACATGACAACGATCAGTTTATTAAAGTATCACAGACGCTCAGAACGATTATCAGCACGTCCACAAAACAAATGTTTGATTAACAGGAAATAAATTTGTACAGTTAAAGTGCATTGAAATCTGATCTGTGGTGTTCACTTCCTGGAAAGGGCGTGGCCTTGACGTTTTGCAGAGACCTGCATGTGGCATCTGGTCTGTTGCGCACACATACGCAGTTAGTTGGTGGGAGTGTCTGATGAGTGAGTAAAGTTATTAAGAGTTAGTTTGCTGAACTACAAATCCCTGCTGAGTGTGTGTTGAGGTGAGACATCAGGAAAATGTTCTGGAAAAGTTTTGGAAATCAGTCGGTAAAAATGAGCAGGAACCCTGAAAACAAGTGATGAAAGCCAAAAGATGCCATTCTGATTATTATCAGTACTAGTCCATAGTCATTGGTAGCTCTGTCACCTTCTACCTATGCCAGTCCTCAATGCCTATGTGCAGTTTCACATAGATTGACCACGTCAGTGAGGAGAAAAACGTGGAACACACACACACACACACACACACACACACACAGACAGTTTTCGTCATTATACAGTAAGGATATTTAAAGGAATACTGATCATCAAAGTGAGAACAGTCTGAGTAAATGAACTGTGGTAAACTTCCTCCATCATATCAGCGCCCAGATCTTCCTGCTCATTCATTAGTGAATTATTTTTTAGAATAGAAGAGACATCTTTATCGTCCACCACGGGTGGAAATTTGTCTTCGACTCTCCAAAAAACAAAAGACAACATTGTAGGAAACAGACAAAGTCATTACAAAACATTTAACACATGAAATCAGCTCATTGTCTGTCTGTGGTTAAAAACTCATCAGTCATGTTGTTGTTGTTGTCCTCCAGCTCTCAGGCTGATGCTCCAACTACAGATTGTACTTCCTCTAATTTGTACAGCCGTCACCACGGACACAGAGTTCATCTAAATACCTGGGGACGTATTCACAAAGCTTCCTCGGGCTAAGAGTCGCTCCTTGTGAAGATAAAAGTTTTTCACAAAGCATCTCAGACCTTCAGAGAGCTCCTGAGGAGACAAAGTGTTGGGAGCAGGAGGAGGAGTTCAAGAGTTTCTGAATCAGAGGAGAAAATGGTGGAAACACAGAGAGGTCAGAGAAACGTCTCTAAACACAAAATGACAGTGAGTCAATGAAACGCTACAGATGAGGTCGCGCAGGGAGGATATGTGTGGTTGATGTCATACACACACATTTCACACCTGACAAAATAACACTATAACACCAGAAATAAAATGATCACAATATTAAGATATTTGAAAAACTGTAAAAACACATCAGAGCAGCAGTGATGAGTTGAGTCTGTCTCAACCTTCATCAGCAGTCATCACACTAACACTGACACTGTCACAGTCTGCAGTTAGTCTGGGGCCGTTTAGTGGCTGTTTTGGTAAGGAACCAGAACGAGGGCGAGAGACACAGGATCGGGAATTCGATGGATGTGCCTTTCCGTCAAAATAAAAGCACCAAGCTAATAAAAATGAAACTTTTTAATTTAAAGAATATAATTTACAAGAAAAGCCCCAAGCCATTAAGTTAACTTTTTCTTTTACTGTAAATCGATGGTGCACCAGAATTTAAAGTTTTGCTTTGGTGAATTTGGTGAATTCCGGATCTGCTCTCTAGACCGGAACCAGAACCCAGACAAAATTCAGAGTGAATGGAAACCAGGCTCTTCCCCGTACGTGAAGAGCCTGGTGACGCGAGGCTAGTCTGGGTGACTGGTGGGCGGAGTCATACAGCCACAGGGCGTTGTCATGTTCCTGATCACACTCACACACTGTAACTAAAGAACAGTCAGTTCAGGACTTTTTCTGCACAGATTATTTCTGACAGTGTGGTATTTGTAGTTTTACTGCAGAACAGGATCTGAACACTTCCTCTGACACTGCTGTCTGCAGGACTGTGTCCCCCGACTGTCCGTCTCATGGCTAAACATAGCGTCCCACCTTCACCTCGCTCTGGCAGCTGCTAGGCATTAGAAACCAGTTTGAGCCTCTCTGCCGAGTCTCTCCACCGTCTCACCAGATCAGCTTTCACTGCCAAGCCGAGCCGAGCGCCCTGGAGTCTAAAAATCACTGGCAGGAGAAACGTCTCTGTATTTCTGTCTTCTGCTTCCTGGAAGTTGAGCCTGTTTAAGAGATGTAGAGGTTGTGAGGTACTGACTGTTCCTCCGAACATTATGGTGATTTTATTCAGGACACTCCCTCAGACTCATTTCCTTCACAGAAATCAGGTGTCTTAAGGCTTCCTGGTAGCTGAGCGGTTTCAGAGGAACACCGAGTCACTGTTACTCGTCTTCAGCCCGACTTGTTTTTGTCAAAGTCACATGAAGACGACATTTAAAACCTAACAGAAGTTTCTCCTGTCTGTGAGACGCCTGGTGTTTGTCAGAATGGCTAAAGTTTCCTCATCAGGATGAACCAGCATCAGAGGTTTAAATTAGCTCATGTTTCTTCCAGCAGAGGAACATTTCTGAGCTCAGGCTCACAGAGCGCTGCAGAGACCACGCTTGTCTGTAGGTCGACCCTGAAGTTAGTGTCGTCCTGGTTTCTTTGTCAAAAAGCCTCCAAGATTTTTCCATTGGATTTTTAATTATTGCAGAAAATAAACTCTGTGACAAACAAACGTTTATGATGCTGACAGGTTTTGTTCAGTGACATAATCTTCACTAATGAATGACACTTTATGATTTTTGAAGGCTAAATGCGATCACCAGCAGTCTCATTTATAAACACTGCGTATGCACAGAAAGAGACCTGAAAGAGACGTACGTCACTTTCCACGCTAAAGTTGTCATTTATAAAAACTCTGACCCGTGATTACCAACATTTTAGAGACAGAATATGGGCGACACAGACGGAGGAAGCCTGGATGTAGTAGGTGTTTTTCGGTACGTGCCGTGTTTGGCTTTTGTCCGTACGTACATTTTCATTACGGATCCTACGTACCGTTTTATAAATGAGACCCAGAGGTAAAAAGCTAACGTTAGGCTATAAACAAATGACTCTATGGTCACATGACTTCATCATCACCACCACAACGAGGATGTGAAGCCGTGTTTGTTCTGTTGTCTCATTCAGACACTTGTTAGCAAAGACACAAAGAAGCTGCTAAATTCACAGTGGGGTATTTGATGACGTAGAACAAAAGGTGAAAGTCTCTTCAGCGTGTGTTACAACACGTTCTCATCCCAGGTCGTCACATATCACTGTTGTGTCAGCGTACATTTAGTACACACTGATGTAGTACACTACGTACTTCTTGCTTGGTGCACTAATTTCAACAGGGTGGTGTTGTCTCAAATCGTGTGCGGCTGTTTTGCACTCATGGGAAGTGATGTGACATTAGCTTAATGATTTCAATCCCATGTTTTGTTAGCCAAAATTAGCATTAGCATTAGCATTATTGTAACAGTGAAACTGAAGCCAAGCAGCAACCCTCGGGGCTTAAAATGAAGCCAAAACCTGTAGAAATAAACATGTTTACAGCCTGTTTGGTCTCTGGAGATAATTTCAACATTCATGACGACTGTACAGAGTTTATATAGAACTCACCTGTTTATATTTTATTAAGGATTAAAGTTACACATAATGAAGGGGGCGGGGCCTCTTTGAGTGACAGGCTGTCTGCGACCACCACAGTCTATAGAGATGTAATTATATGAAGGAGGAAAAACCTATCAGCTAAAATATAGTAACCAAAGGCTGATGCTCCTGTAAATCCCTGTAGCTGCTGATGAACATCAGCTCTCAGACACGACTCTGTTTAACAACCTCTTCTGCAGCAAGAAAATCACTGACTCAGCACTGGAGTTGGTTCTGGTGAAGATCTTTACTTTACTTTTTTTTTTTTTTTAACTCATTTGTCCTGAGAGAGGTTTTTACCATGTTTTTTTTTTACCCGTTAAAGGACACAGGGTGTCGCACAGCCCTCTGAGGCCAACTGATATATGTGATATTGGGCTTTATAAATAAAACTGAATGTTTTTGATTTTATAAGAAAAAATAGTAGCACTGTCATGTTAATGTAATATTTGCTGGATCAATATATATAATATAATATAAAAGGCAGAAAGTTACTTCTTTTTATGAAGATCCCCAAATTAATATTCTGTAAGATGAAGGGATAAAGTTCTAGAAGCACAAGTAATAATGACTAGTTCATACCCACTGAGTGCACAGTTGCCCACGTACAGTTTCACATGGTGTGTGTTTGGGATACAGGTCATAGGAAATCGCAGATTAAATACTCAACTGAACCCATTAAGAAGAGCAATGTATTCAGACAGAGTGTTTGTGAATGTGATAGTACGACTGCAGCCACAGCGATCGGTCGCATTTTAGCCATTTTGAAGCATGTTTCTGTTGTTATAGCGCCACCCAGTTGCCAATTAGAGTTAAATTTCTCCAGTCACCTTGAGGCGTCCTGTTCTACATATCTACCAAGTTTAGTAAAAATCCATATGGCGGTTAGGCCTAGATAAGAAATGAGCTCTCTAGCGCCCCCATTTTGTTTGATGGGGTCAATAATGGAGGGGTCCCCTCAGATTA